GCCCAACCCGACTCAGCTTACCGGTTTAGGCTTGAGTTGTTTTCTTTTTTTGGTTTAGGGTTTGGAGTTGAGGGTTTAGGGTTCAGGGTTTAGGGCTGAAACCTTAGCTTAATCTTTAAAGTCTACTGAAGATCCACCTGGAGATCCCAGTTGACAATGATTTTGCTACGCAGTTGCACGAATTCAGTGTAAGGTTGACAGTAACTATAGCCAACAGGATCTTCAGGTAAGTAAAACCCAATGCCTGCAGTGGACTAAACCCTAAGCCTTTAACCCTAGACCTTTAACCCTAACCCTTAAACCCTGAACCTTAAAACCTAAACCCTGAACTGTAAACCCGAAACCTTAAACCCTAAACCCTCAATCCTCAATCCTAGAGCGCAAATCTCAAACTGCATTGCTGCATCCCGGACTTGTGTGCGTTTGGAAAGCGAAGGTGCCATGGGCAAAATGCGCAACGTGCGGCTTAGCATTCAGATTCAAGAAGGGCATTGCTAGAATTTCTACTTGGGGGGATAGTAGGGCATGTGGGAATGTCTAGTGTTAAGGTAAGGCTGAGAACCGGTAAGAGAATCCCAGTACCTGAAACAGTAGGGGACTCAGCAAGGTTCAACAGGTGGGTTAGTTCAGGATTGAGGGTCTTATAGTGCACTAGAACCCCAATCAAAAGCTAGAAGATTTTGGCCAGGAGTACGAAGCAGCCTTTTTTGACCAGGCTCCTGGCTTCGAGCTTGAAGAAGTTTGGGGTTCAGGGTTTAGGTTTTAGGGTTTAGGGCTTTGGGCTCCAGGCAGGCGACCGGCATCGCTTCTTACTTTCGGCTCAAAATCATCGCTGGCTGCAGGCAAGACGCGGGCAGTATCACACGCAGACGATTTAGCAAACAGTGGGTCCTCGCTTGCAGTGGAGTAGGCGTGAATATTGTTGACCAGCACCGCTTCAGAAATAATCGCGGTTGCTGTCATTTCAGTGTCATTACGACTCATTACACAAAAGGGGCACAAATTTCTATTGTGAAGCTGTACCCAGTTAGCAGTTAGCCCTCGCATGTCTTGGATGCGCCATCATTAGTCAAGCCCAGCCTGCGTGAAGCCCCGACTGCCAGGTCGGACCTGTGTTGATCACTTCCGCTATACTACTAGTTACTCCAGTAGTACCATTTTTCCTGATTATTTGGGGTCTGTCTCCTGATTAAAATTGAACACTAGGAAAAGGACTGGGGAATCAAGACAAAAAGACTTTGTACGGAGGACATTCCCAAGATTCAGGGTGGGGGTTCAGGTGCTGTTCCCTTCCTCTCAAATAAGAGACCTTATACTTGGGGGACATTCTCAATATTACGTGTGGGGGGGGGTCCCTGAACCCTTGGAGGGGTATGCAATATCAGTATACTGATTTTGTTGGTTGTCCCGTAATTCTAGGGCTGCAACCTTGGGCCCCAGCGGGGGCCTTACTCTTGGGGCCTTCAAAAAACCTTTACATACCTTTAAGGGCAAAATCCACATAAAAGGGCTAATGATGCACGTTAAAGGCCATCTTCCAACCTTGGATTTAGGGTTTAGGGTTCGAGGACTATTTTCTGCAGGATCCGATGTATTCTTGGGGAGCTGGCAGGGATATGTATTTCTAGATTGGGTCATGTCTCCTCCATTAGGGATTGAATGTTTTGGTGTCATTTTGGTAAGTGCACGTGATAGGCGCATCTTTGCCTGGGGTTCCTTTGAAGACAAAGGAAGACTAGACTAAGTCTGAGCTTGTTGGGGCTTAGGGTCTAGGCCTCCGGGGTCCTATGAGTTTGATAAGGTTTCATGGGACCTGTCAACGGTGTCGCTGGGGTATCCTTTCTTCAATGCGGTTCCGGGTCCCCGAGGCAAAACAAAGAATGATGGAACGCTCAACCGAGCCTCAACCTAAACCTAGACTGACTGCATCTCTGGGAAGTGACGTTCCTGCTGTGTGAAAAACAACTATCCTGATATCAGGGAACAACGCAACCTTAGATACAGGTAGGCCATAGGCGTTGCTCATTCATCTCGTGTGTGCGCCTGTACTTTACATGTGTATATGAGCTATCCGCACATCCCTTTCACAGCACGGTCCAGGAACATACTTTTTTCATAGACATATATACATGTACATTTACATATATACAGATACATATATACAAACAAATGTGCGCACTGTACTAATATGTGAAACCCCCAATCATTTGGCACCAAAACCTCAAACCCTGAACCACGAAAACTACAAAGAAGATTTTGGCAGCCCCGATCTGAACATTGAATCCTGCGCCCCAAACTCATAGGCAAGCAGGGGGTCTGAGCTCCGTGCAATTGCATCTCCAGCACAAAGCCCTAGACAACCTAAACCACATGCCCCGCCAACAAGTGAAGATCCAGGTAGCCGTTTCTTGAAGGATACCACTGACTATTGCTTTTATCAGTTTGGGGAGGGTAAGTTGCCCTAAATTCTATACCATGGCTACAGTTCAATCCTTTTATGAATATAACATAAAACCCCTATGTACTATATTTTCCCTTGTTCCCTACTAACCACCACTAAGCCTTGGTCTCGTGGAGGCGCTTCATGGGATGTACGCACAGCGATGTTCCCAATCGCCAGGTTCAGAGGGTCTGTGCGCTGCAGGTTTTAGGATTGAAGGTTTAGGGTTTACGGTTTGGGTTTAGGGTTTGGGGAAAGGTCCAGGGCTTGGGGTGTAGGGTTTAGGGCATGGGGTTTCCGGAAGTAAGGTGCCCAATATCGACCCTACACTCTTTGGGTGGTTCCACCAAGGGCCCTGCCTCAATTTTGTGGAAAGAACCTCATCTGGAGAGCGTCTAGACGCTCATTTGGGTGATCGGTTTTGTGGAAAGTCCCTTTGGGGTAGGGGGACGGGGTTTGGCATCAAGCCACCTACAAGAACGATAATATGTTGCATGTTCCTTGACCGTGCTCCTTAGGGTTCCATGATAGCCTGGTGGGGTCCCTAAACCCTGAATCCGAAACCTGGAAAAGGCGAGACGGAGCGAAGTACCCACAGATGAGCTGGCACAGTTGGTGCATTTTGGGACGTGGATGCTGGAGGCCTGCGGGCAGTGGAAAGAGTCAAAGTGGGAGAGTCTGGTGGTTTTACAGTGGTCTGTCCGTGATTGGGTTTGGCTTAGGATCCAGGGCTTAAGTTTTAAGAGCTAAGGGTTCAGGAATGAGGGGCTTTGTGTCACGGATTCATACTTCGGGAACGGGGCTTGCCCATCGGGGATACAGCTATTTCCTCCAAAGCAAGGAGCCCGTAGCTAGCGCCTAGTATACTCCTAGAATACCAGGCTTCCCACTTTTCGGGAATTCTCACAAAGTGCACCCCAGAGATACATCGAATACATTGTTGAGAAGGCAAGGAGTCTGGGGAAAAGGAGCTGCTGGCATTTTAGGGGTTTAAGGGTAAACCCTTACACCCTTAACCCTTGAAGCCTTAAACCCTAAACCCTTAAACCCAGCCCGCACCCAGCGTAGAGGGTTTGAGCCTACAGGGTGACAGGCCAGGATGCAGGGGCTTTGTGTTTTGGGGATTAGGTTTTGCGGTTTAAGACACGAGCTATATAGTCTAAACTCTTTAAAGGGGACTATATAGGGGCGTACTACGGGGTTATTAAGGTGGATATTGGGAGTTTAGACTATAGCTCACCTAGACTTAGAGTTTGGTTTCAGGGGGTAGGGAGTCTGGGCGACGAGGTTTAAGCTGTAGGGCCTGTGTCTGAGAGCAATGCCTCTTCTTTGGAGAGCCTACTGCTTGAAGGCATGCAACAATGCAGCAACAATGCGCTTGTTAGTACTCGAATTCTTCTGGCGATTCCATGCGGGTGCTGACCTCCCGGGAAAGCACACGGGAAAGCACATGGGACCGCTTGCTAAGAGCGTTGCCTGCGAAGGTCTCATGAGTTCGCCTGGCAAAAATACAGTCCCATCTGAGCTATATAGTCTCAACTCCGTAAAGGGGTTATATAGGGGAGAAGGGATCAGTAAGGGGGATGCTAGGAGTTTAGTGTGTCCTATATAACCCTATATAATACAGCAGCTTCCATCTTCCTTTCCATTATCCCATACAACCTATAGCTCATGTGGGCTTGGTGGTGTGCCCTTACTTTTCCGAGCTTCTGAAAGGGAATCCTAATGTCATTTCATTGCCTCTTCAGGATATCCCATCTTGAGCCACCTCATGTGAGCCATAGTCTAAACTCCTGGTATCCCCCCTCCTAAACCTTAAAATACTCCCCTATATGATCCCCCCCAAAAAAACCGCTTCATAGAGTTTAGGCTAAAGCTCATGTGTGGCGTGGGACAAGGTGCACTTCCAGGGCAGTTTGCCAGGCATGTTGAAGGCCAGCACTGCAACTCCTGAGGTCCGCTAAACAGGACCACGTATATTTCCCCGTATATAATCTACACATATAAACGACTCATATGTGACAATATACATATATGTATAATCCTTAAGTAGAATCCCAGATATTAGCCCAGTATCTCCCTCCTTGGCACTAGGCTTCAATTCCTTGGGCTGTATATTAGGTGAGGACATGACATCCTAAGGCCCACACCCAAACTCTGAAGCCTACAGTCCCACTAAAGTAGATAGAATGCGGAATACACAAAATCATAATAAGATCCCCAAATACCCCATACTCTGTCTATTTAAGGGCAGCTCTAAATCCTGCCGTCCAGCCTGGTCCAGGAAGGGGCGAGGAAAGACCTCGTGTTTCTTCTGCTGCTCATCGCCGGTGCGCGTGGCTTGGTGATGGTCTTAGGGGCGACCCTATCCATAGGAATCGATCCTAGGGGATTAGGGTTATTATTGGGATAATGGGAAACTACTATAATGGGTTATATGGGGATTATAGGGTATATATTTTAACCTTAACCCTATAAGGGGATTTGGTAACCCCAACCCCAAAATTAGGACCCTATAACCATCATAATGATAGTCATAGGGTCCTAATATTGGGGGTTGGGGCTACCAAAATCCCCTTATTAATCCATAGGAATCGATCCTAAACCTTAAACCCTAAACCCTCAAGCAACCATTAGATTAGATGGGGTTCCGTGGATGCAAACTTCCAGGGAACTCTGAGGCACTTGACCTACGACCTAGGATCCTGATGTTTAGGTTGGGTGCTGCCCCCACTCATTAGCAGTTGGATAATACATATAGTAGAACTATACAGAGGCCTTAGCATGACCTCTATTTTAGATGGTGACTGGGCAGGGCAGTACTGAAGGTTCAGTGTTTAGAGTTGTAGGCTTCAGGTTTCTCGGAGAGCTCATCCTGCCCCCGGGGTTTAGGTTTAGGGCTTAGGGCCCGCAAGGATGCAAAAAAAAATTAGGGTTTAGGGGCCTTCTGCTGCTCAACCCCTGAACCCCTTCACAGATCACGAGGAGCATCAAGAAAGCACTCAGAGGTTCATGGGACTTAGAAACCAGTGCTAACTTGGCTTCTAACTTAGAACCCTACTTGTAGTTCGGATAAGTCCTAGTAGGCCATTTAGGGGGAGTATGAGTAGGGTTAAGAGCTATAAGTAGTTACTAAGCCCTATGAGCTTCCAAGTAGGGTTTAGGGTGGGTTCATGGTGATATCAGATTCCACCGGCGTTGAAGATGAATTGGACTTCAAATTGCATCCAGCAGTTGCCGCGTGCCAGTGGCACTGAAGCGCATCTCCCCACAACAACGAGCCTCCCTACAATATCATACAGGAGTTTCTCAAGATGATCTTCCTACAGTCCCTAAGAAGGCACCGCTGCAATCTCATTGCAAGCCACATATAAGTAATTATGTGTGTATATATTTATATGCATATATCTTGGGTAACTGAAGTACGCTTACTTTGGGAAACTTGCATAGAAAGGGCCGCAGAAAGGGGCCCCAAGTTTCAGAAACTCACCGCCAGCTATGAGTTTTAGGCTGCTACAGGGACCCCGCCCCCTCCAAGTTAGACCTCCCAGATTAAGGGACTAAGAAGGCCCAATAGGGAATTCGTAAAGGAAATTAAAGGCTTGAGGATTATTTGGTCCGTTGAGTGTGGAGGATCTCCTTAAGATCCTATGGCAGGAACCTGAACCTAACAAACAAGGGGTCTAAACCTTAAGCACTATGCCTACTCCCTAATCCCTCAACCCCCAAGTACTTCCCCGAAACCTGAAACCCTGATCCCAAAACCGCAAACCTAACCCCTAAGACCTATTCCCAGAACCCCAGACCCAGAATGTCTGAGGAAGTACCATTAGCTCGACGCTGATGATCCGTTTTGCAAACGCTTTCCGCAAAGTTCGGGATGATTACGCTGTGAATCATACGGACCAAGCGCACACAGGACGCGCTCCCGCAGTTCAGGGGGGGGGGGGTACTTGGAGTGTTTAGGGTTTGAGGTTTGGGGTTTAGGGTTTAGGGTTTAGGGTTTGGGGTTTGGGGTTTAGGCTATTCAAACCGAATTAAAATGGCAATCATCACCCGATTCGGATTATTTTAGGGGACTTATAGGAGTTTATCCGTGGGCATGTACGTAGAGTCACACTTGGGTTGGAGTCACCCTGAACCCCCAAGTACAACAGGGCTTTACTGGTTCGGGCTTTTGGCTAGGCGAGCCAGACCATGTACAAGAGCTATTCTTTTTACAGCCCTGACAAACACCTGACCAACACTTCTCAAATTCAGAGGGTACCCGAAGGCCTTATTCCAACAGTGAAGGCCGCAGAAAAAACCGGATAGACCGAGGGATTACGCAACACCCATAGGGATTCTAGGCTAGAATCTCCACATTTCCCCATTTATTTTGACGAAAGTCCTCTGTAGCGGATGCGTCATGGGCATGCTCTGATCTTCAATGCACAAAACCCAATCTTACCTTCTCTCCAAACCTAACATGGAAGCGCAGCAAGGGCCCTGTAAGAACACAGTCTGCTCGGAAAGAGCGTCAATAGGTTTCCATGTTTGCGTGGGGGACGGTAAGGAACAACTTTAGACATGGATATAGAGAACCACTGCTCTTACCAGCATCCCCGTCAATGCTGAGCTGTTGTGGCTGCAAGATCTGAAGCTTGTCAAACAAACCCCAAACCCTAAGCCATAAACCCTCAATTTAGGGTTTAGGGTTTAGGGAGCCCTCAACCCTAAACCACCAACCCACAAGCCACCCTAGAGATCGGTTGCTAAGGCGAGGTCGAACCAGCCGACTACCAACGATTTGGTGCTCTCCAACAAATCGCCCAATCGCAGTTGCAGCCTGCCTGGCATTAGGATTATATAAGGGTTTAGTATTGAAGTGGTTTTCAGGAATATTCCTGGAATAGTTCTTACACTTAATTGACTGCAATCCCCATATTAGCCATAAGAATTTGGTTTTCATAGGGACTCTGCATTTATTTCAGTTGCGGGTTTGGGGGGCTTAGGTTCAGGGCAGTCTTGTTCTGGGCTTGGGATTTTGCATTTGGTTCAGTGCCTTAAGTTAAGGCCAATCCCCCTACAGGAATAGCCCATAAATATGGAGCTATTAACGCTTGGATATACCTGCAGTAGCCCCTTGTGGTACCACATCATGCTTTAGTAGGCATGCGTGCTGAATTTGCCGCAGTTGAACAAGGACTACATGTCAATGGATGTTCAGGGTTTAGTGGTCTTTGAGGCATTTTGACACTTCCCGTTTCACCTACAGCCTTGAACCCTAATACCGAAACCCCACTTCAACCCGAAACCCCAAATCGTCGAATCCCCAAATCTTCGATTTTTTCAACCCGAAGCCCCAAAGCTTAAAACTTTTCTTGAGCCTAGGAAGCGGCATTGGAAAAGATATCGAACAGTTGGCGAGGAAAAGTTACTTGGAGAAGTTGGAGCTAATGATTCTTAAGGCTTAAGGCTAGTAATAATGATAATAACAGTAACAATGATAATAGCAATATAACAATGACATAGCAGCAATAATACTGGTAATACTAATAAAGATAATAACAATAAGAATAATAGGGTTTAGGGTCTGGGACAGGAGGGGTCTTCTGGGTTTCGTGATATTATGCCTGTCCAGGCATGGTACAGGAGCGTTAGGTTTGCCGGCAAGGTGATCAAGGTTGAAGGTTGTCAAAAGGCTTAGGGTTTATTGTTTGAGAGTTTAGGGGTTTACGAGTTTAGGGTTTGGACCATCAACCCTAAACCTTAGGGTTTAGGACAAGTTTGGAATTTTAAGGTGGTAAAGCTTTTCTCTTCAAAGGAACATGTCAGGACAAATGGGAGGGGGATTCAGACAATTAGTGGTCCCGTTTTAGGAGTCCCTACTCGAAAGATTATAGTGAACAGCCGTCTGTCAGGCGGCCGCCTTTCGGAATTTTCCATCTGAGCTATGGTCCAAACACCTTGGGGGGTTCTATAGCAAATGATATTGAGGAGTATTAAAGGGCTGAACGAGGGGGATACTAGGAGTTTAGACTATAGCTCATGTGTCAAAGAGAACGCGGAAGACTCAGCTGTCGAGGTTCTTGAGCATACCAAACTTCATCCGCCTTGCTGGGTTGCTGTTAAGGAACATAGATTAAGTTGCCATAATGGATATTTATTGTAATTAGCAGGATTCCCCTAATAGAGTTTCATGAATTGAGTTCCTTAACAGCAACCCAGCCTGTGCAGTCATTCTCCATTACTATACATGTCCCAGCAAAGGTTTTCATTATGGGTTCACAGAACTCCGATGACCTATTGTGGCAAGTGTTACTGTAAGGGGGAATGACCAAAGGTTTAGGGTTTAGGGACAACCCCGTAGCCTCAAACATGGGGTTGGCGCCCTACACCCTACACCCTAAAACCTACAGTATTTCAGCTATCGCCTCGCGTCCCTGAACCCCAGCCAAACACTTCATACCAATTGCGCCCATACAAAAACTGAAGACGTTCAAGTTGAAGCATATGAGCTGTACGTAGTCTAAACTTAAAGGGAGTGTTATGCAGGGGAGTATTATTACAGGGGTTATTAAAGGGGGATACTAGGACTTTAGACCATGGCTCATATTCCATTTGAGATGCTGCTTTAATTGCCAACTTAAAGTGCTCATTCATGGTCAGCACGATTTCATGAAAATCGCCTCCAATTAGCAGTTCAAAGTGATACGAGCTAATAGTATGAAGGAAGTTGATGGCCTTCACCAAGTTCCCTGGCGCCAAACCTCAACTTCACTCCCCAGCCCTGGACTCTATTTTTTCCTGTTCTAAGACAGCCCAGCACCAGAAGCCAAGGAGTTTCCGGAAACTTCGAGTGGAACTGCCAAGAAGCCGACCTTCTAGAGACTTCAAAATCATGCAGAAGATGACCTCTGGCTCATAGTTGGGTGGGATGTTTCTTGCTATTCAAGCCCCATCAAGAATACAAAGGACGTTTTGACAGCTTTGCAGCGTTCGACCTAAATTGTCCATACACCTTCAACCCGGGAGGAACCTACAAGGGGTAGTATGGGGACTTTCAATTGGGGAATGCATGAACACAACCTCCCATTCCACATTTCTTCTTAACCATCGGCAGACGTGGGACCCAGGCTTCCCGAGAAAACATCTCTCATTAGAAGTTAGTAGCGGTTAATATGATATAATTACTGTGTTTGCGATATTTGGGCACATTTTCCAAGCATTTTTGAAGAACCTCTCAGGCGACAAAACTGAAAGGTATGGGGTTTTGGAAAAGTGCGATCAGGGCTAGGGGAGTGGGTATAAGCTGCATGCGGAGAGAATTGGGGTTATGTGGAGTTGCTGAAGTGATGGATAAGATGTACCTTTGGCTTCCATTACAGAGTGCAAATGCGAAGTTGCAATGCCAGCCCTAGACTGCCTAGACCCCTCAAAATCCGATCCTAGACAGGAATCCTAAACTCCCTAGGAAGTGTGACGCACGTGCATTAACCTTCAAGGACCTTTGTTTCGGGCGCCTCACGCACGGAATCTGGATTTCTGACCCTTTTCCCGCCAGCCAAACTGACCAAGTAAGGAAGTCGAGTGCCAGCGTTGTTGCATCTCTGGCTGAACTTATGCTGTAAAGTGCTAGTCAAGTGTCTGCCGAAGGGTGACAACGGCGATCTGATGGGCGCCAGCTCCACGGATATATGACAATATTAAGATCCCCCTGGTTGAGGTTCTATGAGGTGTGGAGTCTCCCCTTCCTTTGAGTCCAGGATTATCTGAGTAACTCCCACCTTCTACATGGTAAATACCGCGGCTAGGAGCACAATGCATAATAGAACAGCGGAGCGCGGCCATCAACAACTATTTGGGGTCATTTCGATGGCGCCAGTTACTGTACAGCACGAAAGTATTTTGCTGGCAAACACCGGAACATGTTTTAATTAATCAAGTGCTGGAATGCTGAGCGCTAAGGACAGGACAAAGTTTGGCATGTTTTGCAAGGAGCACATGAAACAGTGCATGCTCCCTCCCACCCCGCCACAGTCCGTATTCAGAAGCTCCCCCCCCACACAGTATCATGAAAAATGTAAGGGGACAGTATGCTTATGGTTGGAGATGAAATTAAGGTATTACCAGTATACATTTGGGAGTTGCCGCCCAGCGAGTCTTGCTTTCTGGAGAAATTGAAGCCAACCACAGCCCCCACCCACCCCAACATACCCTAAAGCCCCAAACTGACTACATGCCCAGTGGTTTTCAGCTTTCTCCCTTGCTGAAGGAAGGCATTTTGGGACGGCATGGCCATACGCTGACCGACCTGGAGGTTTGTCTGAGGGATTGCTTACTGGAGGTTAGTAAGGAATGAGGGAATACAATCATCCTTAAGTTTCATAATCCCGTATTGCATGTTCCTACTAACCCCCAGTAAGGTTTTTTCTGGCACGCGGTGTAGGGTTTAGGCTTCTATGGAAAAATCATTGGGGCAGCAGTCCTGAGTCTTGGCATTTGTGGCCGGCAGTTCAAGGGCCACATGCAACAAGGCTCTCCATGAGGCAAGGTTGGCAAGATGAAGTGCAGCCTGAACCCTAAACCTTGAGGCAACAGCAGCGCGAAGTATCTGAAAGCTAGAGACAAGACATGCTGAAGGCTGTTCCATGGATCGCGCTTGTAAGCAGCATGGGGTGTGCATAGATGGGCCCGCTAGAAAGGTTATTGGGACCAAAACGTTTGTGGTTATAAGCCCTTAACCCTAAGCCCTTATCCCCAGATCATATTCCCGTCATTCCTTCAGGGCTGTTCGTGTGATCACAGGTGACACCAAGATGTCATTCCTGGCATGCCTCGCCTTATCTTAGCATTTAGGGTTTAGGGGGGAAGGGAGGAATGGAAAGGAACATGGAAACGACCAAATTATTTGGGATTACACAGGGACGACTACAACGAGTCTTTCCTTCACTCCTTGTGAATAAGAGCTAAGTGATTACGACTGCTGCTACCACAGCGCTACTTCTACTACTCCTTCTAAAAGTGCAATTCGGCCGATTTCAAGTATTGACGCCGCCGCCGTCAGGAAAGTACATGTTGCTGTTGCTAATGCTCCTGCTACTATTACTCGTGCTCCTCCATTACCTTTTGCCACCAACACGCTTAACCCTAAACCTTACGCACTAAGCCCCTGGTTCTCTGTTCGCAGGACATAACTCTCGAAACCGAGAGTTTGGTTTGCTCATTCGAAGAAGCGGCGACTCCCGCAGAGAGGGTCGTCACTTCGCTGCCTATCATCATCCAGGTCGCTGAGCTGTGTTGGTTTAGGGTTTAGAGTTTTTTCCATGGCTTACTGGTTGTGAGTAAGGAGTACAGGAAAATTAAAGGAGTACAGGAAAATTATCCATATATATATATGTATATATATATGTATATGCAATACTTTTTTCCCCTACTTACCCGATAGGATGAAGGATTGCTTTACGAACTGGAGCCTAGGTAGGTTGAGCTTACGGTTCGTATGTTGCAGGACGGTTCTGATTGAAGAGACCGATGCTCTGGCTTGTAAGGGCTTGCAGGTTGGTTTCGGAAGCTAGGGGCCCCCAAAACACTTAAACCCTAAACCCTAAAGCCAACCCCAAAAGATGAAGGCCCCCAGAAAAGGAACTCATAGTTTTTGGAAACTCCAACCTCTTCATGTCCCCCCCTCTTTGTTGGAGCCTTCTGGGCAACTTTTTCTACTCCTCGCTCTCATCCTCGGTTGTTCCTGCGGGATTTCGCCCATATCATGTGGGTAGTTCCCAAAATTAAGGTCCCGTTCTGGTACCCCTAAGTAATAGTTGCCGTAGTTTAATATGTATCCAGAAGTGGCCCATTATTTTGAGAACAACCTGTATTTGAGGTAGAGAAAAGGTTTTCCTGATGAGCCTAACTTACGGGTCCTGCTGCCAAAATTTGCTGCTACCCTTGTGCTAAACTCCAAGCACTAAAGTCCTCCTTAAGTAGATCGAATATAGGGCTTATAGGGATCCTTGAATTGCTATTGGGCAATTCTATATTCTAGCTACGTACCGAAGGGGGATTATAAATTTTCCACACCCTCAACTGCTGCTCCGCCAGCAATATGGTATGTTGCGGTTGAACCGCGAAAATCGGATGCTAAATGTAGTGTGAGTTTCACAAAATCATCCCCTATGATCCTCAATGAGGACCCCCATAATCTTCTTGTAATCTTCATACATCCTGGGGCAACTGGTAACCCCCTATCTTGAGAAACTCTCTAGTAGTTAGAAGAGTGCTCGTAGTACTCATGCTCATCATCATAGGGGGAATGCTGACCCTAAACCGCAACCCAAAATCTTCGACACCCTAAATTCTGAACCCTAAACCCTGAACTTGGAACTCTAAACCCTAAACCTTGCAATAAACTCTGAAGCTTCGCACTTAGAACCTAAGCCTTAGTTGAATGACGAGCATGGAAGGTTTCAGGCTTTTGAATTTAGGGTTTAGAGTTCAGGGTTTGGAGTGTTGGGTTTAGAGTTTTGGATTTCGAGTTTAGGGTTCAGGGCTTTCGGAACCTCAGTCTAGCAACAATACACTACAACGTACAATGCCAAATCTTCATGTGATACCAAAGGCTGAAACCTAAAACCGAAAGTTAATATAGAGACCCCAAACAGGTATCCCGAATTTTGGGAAACTCCCAAACCCTACAAACCCGTACATACGCTCTTAAAATCCATAGCCGAGGCTGTGCACAACGTTGAGATGGCTCTCGCTCCTCTCCTGCTTCTTGGGCAGCAACCTGTAGACTGGAGGCTTTACACAGAGGGTTTAGGGTTTAGGGTGTATGGCCCTAAACCCTAAACCCTAAACCCTAAATAGTAGTTTCCATTTTTCTTTTCCATTATCCCAATATAAGCAAATCCTAAACCCCCAAAAGTGGGTCCCTGAAAAAGTCCTGAGGATGATATTGGTAATGATTTCGGCCCCGGCAGTTTGGGCTTCAGGTCTGCAGGATTTAGGTTTTAAATTTTATCTAGGGTTTAAAGGTTGAGACTTGTGGGCTTTGGCGTTTGAGGCTCTACGGATTTGGGCTTGAAGATTTGCAGGTGTAGCGTGCTTTCGCTGATGTTGGGGTGATTGACATCTACGCTCAGATCCCTATCCCCGTTAAAGAAAAACCATCTGAACCATATTTCCTTAAACCTTAAACTCTGACACGTGCAGCCCCAAAGCCTGACACCTCATCCTTATGTACTGTACCCCCCATGTAACCCTACAACCTAAAGCCTAATGCCTATATAACCCTGCATAAGCCTAAAGCCTTTCAACTTAATCCTTGACCCCAATATAACCCTAGAGCCCTACAAACCCTAAACCCTAAATCTGAAACCCTAAACCCTAACCCTAGAGCCCTAGACCCTATTATAGTATCCACCGCAGTCCCTGTTTGTGGTTTTGCAATCCCTGATCAGCCGAAACCCTAAACTCTTAAACCCTAAACCCTAACCCTAGAGCCCTAAAGCCGAACACTATACATTGGGTACTGCCCCCCAACAGTAACTCAGTAACAGTTGGATAATAATTACAATATGGTTGTATATAGCCCTTGATGGGACCCCTAATATAGACTGTTACTGGGTAGGGGCAGTACCCAAACTATACAATCCCTGATTGGCAAAGGTCCGCCGAACACTATACAATCACCCTAAACAGTAGTTTCCATTTTCTTTTCCATTGTCCCTATAGAACCCCTATATTATGGTAACTTCATTTAAGTTCCTTAACGGCAAAGGTCCGCTGTGGAGGATTTTCTTGGAAGCGAGCCTCTCTTGCAGCCTGGCGAAGTGGAACCTTGGCTACCGCGCAGGTTCGGGTTTAGGGGGGTAGGGGTGCATTTAGGGTTACATAGGGGGATATGGGGTTATACTTGCAGTTTAGGGTTTAGGGGGGTATTTAGGGTTACATAGGGGTATATGGGGTTATACTTGCAGTTTAGGGTTTAGGGGGTGCATTTAGGGTTACATGGGGGTATATGGGGTTATCGTTACGGTTTAGGGTTTAGGTTTAAGGGGTATATTAGAGGGTTATATAGGGGTACATAGACATATATAAGAATTGTAGGGACATGTTGGAATTACAAGGATGTATAAGGTTATATAGGGTTGGGGCTTTAGGGGGGCTTAGGATGTGCAGGAGTGTTTGCAGAACTGAGTTCTGGGTTTTAGGCTTTATGAGCTTGGGCAGGTTTTCTGACAAGTGTTTGGTAACCCCGGGCTTTGGTAGCTAGCACCAACCCCATAAAAAACTTCTTTTTGATAATGAGAGGGTCCAAATTTAGGGGTTTGGGGTAAGCAAGCTCCCCTTTTAGTTTTAGGGTTTAGGTGTTGGAGCATCGGAATGGACGGCTTGAAAGTTTGATATGAAAAACATGGGCTAAGGGCTAAGTAGACTTGAGGACTTAGGGTTCAGGTTTGAGACAAGCCTCGTACACTGTGGATAGTCACCTGATAGGTTGTGGTGCAACACGTCTTCAGGGGAGGCGGAGACAAGGGGAAGGGTTATGAATAGGAATACGAGGGGTCTGTACGACCTCTTAGGGGTGGGAGGGGATATGTATGAATGCGTGTATGTACAAATGCATGGATGGATGTATGTATGTACATGTACACAATATGTAGTACCCCTTACATTTTCAAAGAGGTGCCGGCTCTCTTCCTCATTTCTAGAAGGATTTGGGTAACAAGCTTCCGTGCTCTTTTCTTTCCACTCCGCCTATGTCCCTCTAAAACCCTCTAGAACCTTATAGCCCCATATAACCCCTAAATGATATCCGACATGATGCGGTCTCTAGGCTTTGTGGGTTGATTGTGGATTCCGCTACCACCCCTTCACACTACTCCTCCCAGGTTCGCCCTTCATTTACCTTACTTAGCCTGCATTATCTCTAGAGTAAGTTTCTTCAAGGGGGAACCCAAAAGGGTGACAGGGAGGGACGGAAAAGGGAACCCAACAGTTCAATGTCTGCGAAGCCAGCGAAGTCCCAAACCCCAGGACCCACATCTCCAGGGCCGCACAAGTCGTACGTCAGTACACCACAAGTTCATTGAATATCAGCAGGAAGCACGAAATCGTTGACCCTGCACCTGGAACAGCAGTAAAGAAGCCAAGTCCTCTCCAACATACACAAGCCGCAAAGCTAGAGTGACTGGGTCCAGTGTGTCAGGGAGACTCAATAAGCAGGTCAAGAACCCGTATATCAAGCCATTAAATAACCTCAGTTAACCCCGTTATTGACCTACTTACTAAGTCCCCCTGACCCTCCAAGTAGAGTCAACCCATCAACCTGACTGCCCACAATTTCGCCTCAGCTCCTAAACCGTCAACCACACCTAGTATGTTATGCTATATTATGCTTTTCGTATATTATGGTACCCAACCCTCATGCCTAGGAGTTAGGGTGTAATTAATTAACATGTTTAGAGTCCCAATCCTAAAGATCTGACCTCTACATCCCTAAACCCTAGACCCTTAAACCCCTAAACCCCTAAGCCCTTGAACCCTTAAACCCTAAGCCCCAAAGCCCTAAACCCTTTCAAGCCCCAGCTTCAAAGCAAGGAACGTTGTTCATACGAGATTCCTGCTGGGGGATGCGTGGCCTGGCCTAGAGGGCTTTATGCTGAGCAGTTGGTTCAGGATGTGGGGCTTCGTGGGTCGAATTACGTAGGGGTTTGGGGGATCAGGGTTTAGGGGTTACCTCAACAAGATCTCAAAGTTTAGGGTTTAGGACCCTACAGGTCCTGTAGCTTACGCTCTAAATCCCAACATCCTCATTATTGAGGTGTCCTAAACCCTACGTGATCCCATATAACTGTTACCCTAGATAGGGCTGGTTTCCATTTCATCTTCCATTTCCTTTTCCGCTAGAGTCGTCTCCACTATTGGCGGGGATAATGCTCTAACCTTAAACTCTATACCCTACACCCTAAACCCCTAAACCTAAAACCCTTAAAGCCCTAAACCCTAAACCTGAAACCCTTAAAACCCAAAACCCAAAAGCCCTTTAAACCCTAAACCCCTAAACCCTCAGCCCAAGGCCTTTTGTACAGAAAGTCCGGGTTCGGTTTGCTTGCCGTTTCAAGCCTTCGGCGCGACGAAGCTGCAGAGATGTTTGGTTTTTTAAGGGGTTTAGGGTTGAGGGGTTTAGGGGTTCAGGCTCTAAGGGTTTAGGGTTTAAGGTTTAGGGGCACCATACGGTGGATGCTAAAAAGCCTGCAGGACCCTTGGTACTAATCAGATAGTAGAAGACTTCTTTCACCCAAGATAGGGCGGTGGGCTTTGAGAAGGCTACTGCAAGAAGTTAGGATGACGATAGGTGATGGAACTTTGTCGCGGAGATGACAGCTTCGATCTACCTTTCCCAGACCCCCTGAAGGATCCAAAAAAAGAAACCTCCCAATAGTCCCTTAATTTTCCCCAATGCTTTAATACCTTTCCCAGACCCCCTCGAGGATCCAAAAAAAATCCCCAATGTATCAAAAGGATCATGTGGGGGGGGGGGGGGGGTTGTTTTTTTTGGATCCTGTAGGCGATTTGGGTTGGAGCCTCCAGATCATCAGCATCAAGCAAATGCCCTCCTCAATGATTGTTCGGATGAAGCTCTTGCCACTCAAAACACACAGTCTACCTGAATGAATCGATAGGATTTAAGGTTCATTTCTTGTTTAAGGGTTGTAAGGCTCTCATAGATCCATGGTTTAAGGTTTGGGCTTGGAACGGAGGAATGGAAAAGAAAATGGAAGCTACCATACCCTAAACCCTAAACCCATGTTGGGGGCAGTATAGGGGTTGCGATTAGGATCCGCTCTTTCATTCCTTGCTACCCGGAGGTAAGCCTAGCCCTGAAGCTCTCCACACCATCTCCGGGGGGAGGGGGCTAGTAGGGAATGGGCGGATGAATCTTTGGGAGTATCCGAGGGGGTTATAATCCCCCCCCTATGTTTTAACCCTCCCCACACGGCTGACCTGCACTAAACACAAAAAGTCAGCTGAACCCTCAAACCCTTGCAGTTTCCGTGGGGGCTTCAAAGCCAGTACTCGTAGGATTAGATGAATCGAGGTGAGCCTGTTGCATGGCATGTGCGAGGGTAGAGCAGGAGTCACCCCAGCAACCTGGCAAAAATGAGGGAGGATTTAGCATTCAAGGTATAGAGCGTATGCGGCTTAGGAAAGAGGATTGGACAGGTCTTCGGTGGTTCTGTCAGAGGCCGAATATGAATTTTGTATGGATCCCATACATGCTGCACAATCTTAGAAGTGGGGATTTTAGGGCTTCTGGGTGTGTAATGGTTTCATGAGCGATTTGTTTCACATGCGGTAGCTTGGAGTATGTTAGTGGGTCTTTGCTGGAAGACGAGCATGTCATGTTATTGGGGCCTACCAGGCTGAGCCAGTATGTTCGCTAGGTCATGGACTGCCGGTACCTAAACCCTGATGCCCTAACCTCCAAATCCTGAATCCTGAAACGCAACCCTATGCCCCAAAATCCTGAAGGGTAGTTTCCCAAAACAAGGGGACCCCAATATAGACCCAAAAACACTATAATCCTTCTTAATTGGCACACGTTATTTTGGGAACCCCCCCGAATCTTGAGTTCGCTTCCTTAGGGTTAGGTTCTCACTTCAGGCGCTGGGGTTCTGGACACAAACGTAGGTGTTTCCAAAAACAGGGGCACCTTTTTGGGCGTCTCTATACTAAGGCTTATAGTTTTTTAGGGTCTATATTGGGGGGGGGGGGTCCTTTATTTGGGAAACTACCAGATGTGCAAGAATGGGTAGCATTGGTGCAAGCACTGGTAGAGTTAGGTAATACGCATATCGATTAGAGCACCTTTGATGAGACCCCACATCTCTTCCCTGAGAAGAATGCCCGCAAGCGCATTTGGTATGCAGATCACAGCAAATTTACTATGCACGTTGAATTGCATCGCCTACATCCCAAAAACCTGCGACCCTGAATCTGAACCCCCAAAACCCCAAATCCTAAACCAAAATATCCCGAACCCTGAACTCCTAAGCCTGAATTTTAACCCCAAAACCAAAAACCCTAAGTCGCAGGATGCAGAGATCCCGAAGCCCCTAGTCTAGGATTTAGGGTCCAGGGTATAAACCCTAAACCCTAAACCGTAAACCCTAAGTCCTCAACCCTAAGTCCTAAACCCTAAGCCCTAAACCCTAAGCCCTACACCCTAAACCCTTCTCAGGACGTCCTGCTTGAAGAGTTGGGTGACCCTTCGCAGCCAATTAGGGTGCTCAGCAACGCAGCTGCAGCGGGTTTGGGGCTCACGCTTTGAAGACTTGGGTTTATAGGGTCCAGGGTTTATAGTTCCCCTTAAGTAGATAGAATATGGAGTATATGGGGATCTCATTATAATCTACCCACAGCCATATTCTATCTACTTCAGGGGGACTAGAGGGTTTAGGTGTTTATGGGTGTTTCCCAAAATCATGGGTCCCTTTGTGGGTGTATCCATGAGAAGGACTAAGGTTGGAGGTCTATATTGGGGTCCCGCCTTTTTGGGGAAACTACCTCACAGGGTCTAGGATTAAGGTATTTCCTGCTTGAAGGATTATCGGAATAGGGGTGTACTTAACAAGTGTTTGGGGGCTCGGCGGGCTGGGGGTTTGGCAAAAATAGCCAAAGGATTCGCCAAAAGTCCTGAATCCGAGCTTTTCAGTAGTAACGGCGCCCCTCGCCTCGCCCGCCTTTGGATAAAGAGTTTTGAACAAGTTCAGTTCCGCAGAGTACGAAAAGATGGTCCTGAATGGAAAAGCCTCAGGACTCCTCGGATTTCAATCGACAAGTCTATAGTCCCCCTTAAGTAGATAGAATCTGGGGTATATTGGGATCTTATTATAATATACCCCAAGCCATATTGTATCTACTTAAGGGGGACTATACACCTTAAGACAACTTAAATCTAACCCGTCCTTTTACTTTTCTACGGGTGGATGTCTAGCCACAAAGGGACCTCAGCCTTGGAAGTCATCTTTGACCCCTGATCTGGCCCATGGACATTTCTTTGAATCTTAGGGTTTAGAGTATATTGGGGTCATATTGGGATACCGGAAAGAAAAAATGGATACCACTATAGCATATTGGGGTTAAATAAGGGATGATGGAAAAGAAAATGAAAACTACTATTTCGGGTTTAGTGTCTACAGGGCCCATATTCCCCCCCAATATATAGTCGTTTCCATTTTCTTCTCCATTCGTCCTTGTCATATGACCTCTATATAGTTTTTTTTTATCTATCATGTTCCCATAAGAATCTAGGGGTTGCAGGGCTGTCGTTGTGTTGAGCTGGAATCATTCATTGCAGGGTCCCTTTGGGCATCAAAAGTGCGTGACGAGTTGGAAATCCAGCTCCACAGCTGCATGTTTGCTGTGCCACTCCTGAGGCACGAACAGCAAGCAGCTCGGCTACACTAACCTTTGCCCAATGCGAGTTTCCACGAGTATTCCTCTTGTTTTGGTTCATGGCAGTGGCTGTGCAGCTGTCATCCAGATTCCCCCTACTGATGGAAACTACCATGTGCTACGGCAATTTGAATGTGTCAGCATTGTAGCCTTGTGTATTCGCCTAAGCAGGAGGATCATCAATGAGTGGCGTTCCGAAAATTCCAGCATCACCTGCGCAGTCAAAATCTGTTTCCTCTATCTCCCGGGCTTCCACTCAACACGAAGCCTTATCTGCTATTATCAGTCACTTATGCGCTTCCTCAACCCTCCTCTCAAAGGGGTGCCTCGCAAATCCCCCGTCTGGATACTCCAGCACGCCGAGGCTTAAGAAACGCTGTGATTAATACTTGGGTTATTCTCAAAATTAGGGGCCTCTTTGTACCATTCTAGTTGTATTACGGCACCTAACATTTAGGGGTGCCAAACTGAGACCCTAATTTTGGGAACCCTCCAGAACCCTAAACCCTGAACCGTGTCATTTACACGTCTGCTGCGTCGGAGGCCTAAGCCCCTAAACCTCCAAAACCCGTCGGAGGTCTGGTGAGATGTTCTTCATATCCCATACGGGAAAGTTCATCATCAAGAGTCTTGGAGATGACCCCAAGGGGCTTTGCACATCTAGGGTTTAGGGTGTACGTTTAAGGTTTCGGGTCTAGCGGATTACTGGGTTGCTGAGGAAGTTGTATACTATAATGAGGGTAAAGGGTTTAGGGCCTCTGTTACCAGGAAACCTCTTTAGTGACTATATACCCACATTCTTGTAGCTTGGTTTAAGTTCCTTAGCACGAACCCAGGTTGTTGTATCAATGTTTTCTCATATTAGTTCTATAGTGTATCCGCATGAGCAAATGATATTGTTTACGTCATTCCCATATTCTGGATATATTGCTCCTATGCTATTGGTAGATTCTGATTGTTGACTTGTATCACTTCCATTTTATTGGTACATGATTGCTATATTTTTTGCGTAGCTTTAGCTCTTTGATTCGCGCCTAGGGTTTGGAGTAGGTCGGCTTGTGGGACAGCCGCAAAGCATGGCTTCCCTGCTACCCCCCTCTATACTACCCCACTAGGCTCCCCCATTAAGTAAGATTAAGCGGGAACCTAGAGGGGGGGGGTTAGTATAGGGGGTGTGGCAAACCTATGAGGAGACTTGGGGTGTAACACTACATGCGCTGCATGAGAGGGAGCGTGCTGACATAGTCCTCTGGGGCCCGCCCCGCACGTAGTCCCACACCTGGGCCCCGTCGAGGGGTGAACAGACTTTGGCGAATTCCAGAACATGGAGATACATTAGCCCCTACATCAGGTACTTATATCAGTTTCCGTCATATTCGGCACAGAAACTAGACCCGACATGGAGCTCCACTGCTGTTTGCTAAGTCCGAACCTGCAAAAGAAGCAAGGTATGGAGATTATTATGTGTAGATAGGTGGGGGTTATGGTATAGGGCCACATCATTCGTGGCGAAACGATTGCTGAGCCTGTTTGAACAGCAGGCCTGTTGCAACAAGTGTCGCAGCAACTGCTCTCGGCATTCATTTTGGTTACGTGCCTGGCAGCCACGAACCCTGAGTTCCTTAAGCACAAAGCCTCAGGAAGGTTTATTGCTTAGGGTTCATGAGCCGCATCCTAAGCCTCAGCCCTTGATTTGGCGTACATGGTAGGATTTGAGGGAGGTACGCAGAATTGGTTGTTGTTTGGTCTGTATTGACTTCAAGCACAATCAGAATAATTGCCTCCCCCTAGCATTATAAAACCAGCTAACCCTTTGATTTTACAAGCTCCTGTAGATAGGATACCATAGTGGGAGACAAGGATATACTATTCCTCAGAAAGGAGCATCCCATCTACAAGCTTAAACAAGATGAATCCACAAGCTCCAGATGATAGCCTAGCCGAGGAGCATCTCCGATGCAGAGGGCAAGGGTTTAGAGGCAATTCTTCCAAGCATCCTGGCAGGATTTGGAAGGGATCCCCAAAAAAAGGGATACCGTTTTGGGGGTCCCTATGATGAGGATTGTAGTAGTTTCCGGTCTATATGTGGGCCCCCTCATTTTGGGAAAGTACCGTTTGGGAGGGGGGAAGGCAACCGGGAGTTTTGCGGGGTCTAGGGACACGCCTATCAGAAATACGGTCACTAAATTTCCAAGTGCCCAAGTCTTCATATACAGGACCCTTGCGGTCGGTTCAACAAGTCTATACTTTGCCAACTATAACTTTGCAAATGGAACGAAAGCATAAACCTCTGCATGGTATTGAGGGCCAGAGACTCCCACAGCATGTTCCCCTTTTTTGGGCATGGTGTCAGGTTACATCAGTCATCTTGCCGGAGAAGAAGGGTCCATTCTGGGACTTTATGTCGGCCTCTACCGGATCGCCTCTCGCCGAGTTTTCCTCACTTTGATACTAAATTACTCCAACTCCGTATAATCAGCATTCCCAATATGTTATAGTATACCACAAGAGGACTAATTTCCATCAGGCATGTAGGGGGAGGGATTGCCCAGTATGCCTCAGCTCTACTTACAGGATCAGGGGACGTGGTACTTGGTTGCTGTTAAGGAACTTTAATTTGAGTTATTATAATGAGGGAACCACGTTAATTGCACTATATATATCTACGTATTTATACACACCCAGTATAGTAACTTAATTTGAGTTCCTTAACAGCAACCCAGGGTAAACATGTTATAAGCAAGTTTATTAGCAGACCAACCGAAATTTGTTATGAGAACAGCTGCGACGACGATGGAAGCCTGGAATGTGCCTGCAGAGTCTATAACCCTAAACCCTAAAGAGTTTCCATGTTCTTTTTCATTATCCTTATACCCCTTATAACCCTATAAACCCTCTAATTATACCCTAGGCGCGCCTAATTGGGCAGGAGATCCCAATTCAAAGTTTTCCACCCTAGCCAGCAAGGACATGGGCAAGCTGCTGTACTTCTGCAAACCTGAACCCTTCCAAACCCTAAGCCGCAGTCGTATGCCAACCCTCAACTTCCAATTTAAACTCAGATCCCCACCTATCCCTCGCCTCCCAAACAGGTAAAATTAAAAGGTCCATAAACCGCTGGCGCAGCACAAAGCCGCCAACCCCCTTGAACCCCAAAAACTCACTACAGGACCCCAATTTCCCACTGTGAAGGCCTGTATACTTACATACCCCTGCAACCTCATTGAAAGGGCTTAGACCCTAAACCCGAAGCCTTGGACCCCGAAACCTTAAACCCTCGACCGTGAACCTTAAACCCTAAACCCCAGAGAAAAACTTCAAGGACATGGGTTCTGGCCTGGGTCAGCGCTATTTTACCATCATGCGGTCCGTGTTTGATTCCCCTGTGCAGCCCCTTGGGGCGGTATTATGGGATTTTAGGGTTTAGGGTTTTAGGGTTTAGGGTGTTAGGTTTCGCGCGTTTAGGATTCGGGGTTGTAGGGTTTAGGGAATACAGGGCATGTATCAGGGTTATATAGGAATAATGGAAAAGAAAAGGGATTAGGGGCTTAGGGTTGTAGGGCTGAGGGGTTAGGGGTTAGGGTTTAGTGCCGTCCCTTCCTGGGACCTTTGCCGTGAGGGGTGCGACTGTGGCGATTGTAGGGGGCTTAGGATTCAGAGGATTTCAGGACTTGGGGTTTAGCACTTTGGTTTTGTAGGGTTTGGGGTTTTAGCTTTTGGCTGTATAAACTTGTCTTCCCAGGGGGTGTAGAATGAAAGGCATGTATTGTTTTGGATTTTTGTGATTCAGGACCAGCCTGACATCATCTTTGGAAAGCTCTAAGTGATGTTTCGTTGTTGGCGCTGACACAGAAAAAATCACGCCATCGACGGAGATAGTCAGTTGCAAAGCCCTAAGGCACCCTAAACATGCTAAACCTTGAACCTAATAGCCACTTGTATGACCCCTGTGGCAAAGCCCCCAACCACAGCTTCGCGCGCTAGGACTCAAAACCCGAAGACCTCACACCCTCAAGCCTCCAATGGCCCCTACGCAAACCCCAGACCTTTGCCTCGCCTCCAGAGAGCATAGTCCTCTCCCTTAAAAATGACCCCGCGGCCCCAAACAGCCGAGGATGACCAAGATGTATGACCTCAAAGGGTCGACGCACAATCGGAAGGTGAAGGCGCCGCCTACACAGTTACAAAAATGATGGTTCTAGGTTTCTTGTATAACTATGGCAGAGAGTACTTCAAAAAGACCTTTAAAGGGACATCGGTCATTTCTTGGCTCGTGTATTAGCTCGTGGGCGTTAGCAGCTCGATCTCATTTTTCAATACAAGGGCCATCTATTTCAAGAATATCCTTTGAAGTAGAATGTCTTGGGGTCTGTTCTATTGCAGAAAGGGAGAGCCTAGGAATCTACCCTATTCCGAGGACAGCGCTCATTGTTCATTAGGTTATGGCACAGGGTCCCTGTTCACGTTTGCAATTGCACTTGATGGTTCACTGGTCATCATATGTAGAGCTATAAGCACCCCAAATGAGGCTGTAACTATAGTGACCCCTGCAGAACAACTATATCTCCACGTAGAAGTAACCAGGAACCTTCATGCCTCTAAGCTTCAACCCTAGGCCTTAAACCTTAACCATTGGATCCTAAACCCTACGTGCAAAATTGCCCTAAACCCTCCAAACTCATAGCTACTCTAAACACGAAATGTTCGAGTAGTGTGCAATTCGTGGTTGCACCCTTTCACAGGACGCTTCCGAGCGCGTACGCAAAGACGAGGCATCTGGCTTGCTTTTCCTTCTGCGTGGTGCTTAAGGGGTAGTGGGGAAGGGAGTTAACTCAATATTACTGCAGGTATCCATCCTTAAGAACGGGTAGGTTCAATGTAGAAGCCTGAATACCTGGCAGGATGCTCCTCGAGCAGCTCTTAGTCGTTCATAGTACAGTATCCCCCAACAATCCGGGTCGATCTTACTGGTGGTTTCTTATGGACTGAGGGAACATTATCCTTATATAATCCTCGTAGAATGTTTTCCTTAAGTCCCTACAAACCCCAGGTACGCTATGTTGTTGGGTCTTACATTGATTTGCTTCCAACTGAGGAAGCTTCGGACACGTTTTAGGAACGGCAAAAAAGACATACCGTAGGAGGCGGTTTAGTGCTTATGGCTTAGGCCTGAAAGGCCATACCCTAGGAGCCTAAATACTTACCAATATCATAGAGATTCTTGAGAATCAAACGAAACAAAGAACGTAGAAAATGATATGGAAAACGTGTTTCTATAAGTGATTTAGGGTAACTATCAAAATTATGCCGCTAGGTTCCTGGTAGAAGTATATCTAGGGTACCCCAAATAGACCTCAAATGATATAGGTCATAACAGCTAAACCGTAAACGCGGTCATAATAGCTAAACCCTAGTCCCTACACAACCCTCCCTTGGGTTCTTAGGTGTCTGCCCTTTCATGAGGAGATGTCACTTTGAATGCAAGGGGTTGCGGAAATACTGTGGCCATGAACAAGGGATGGCGTACAAGAGGAACTCGGGTGTCGCAAGGATTTCTGACGCGATTTCCATAGAGTGGCGGTGGGGATTGAGTACCCTCCCAAAGCCTAAGAAGCCCAGATGCTAATCCGCCAGGACTGGATCTCCGACAAATGCCGATTGATGGTGTCGCCCGAAGATGTGGCGAGACTTGAGAAAATGCACGCACGAGATACCGTCCCTCAGAGGCATATTGGTTGTTTACAGCTAAGTGTTCAGCGTTCAAGAGGTTCTGAATGAATTCGCGGCTTCAGATGCTAAAGCTTTAGGAGTACGGTTTCAGGATTTGCCACTGTAGTCGCATCGACGGCCTTCTCACTCGCTAAGATTTGGCAATGGAAGTTGATGGGACTTCCCACCGAATTTAACAATGAGCTCCAGTTGACAATCTTTGTCAAAGGGTTCCTGACATCTGATTAGAACCAAGAGAGTGTAGACTGCTTGTGGCCTCGGGACCTCATCTAACAGGGCAATCAGTGAACTAAGTCATGATGATGCACTGCTGCGGTGCTAATTTGAATGGGACAGGCCTTTGAAGTTCCCGCAGGTTTGAAAGCTTAGGCTAGGGTTTAGGTCTTAGGTTTTAGGTTTTCAGGTTAGGGCCCTGCAAGACTGCTCTGCCGACTCTGTAGACAAAATCTTAGGCAAACAAATGCACGACGAGGTGTAAACGGAATTCGTGTTGTTACACAACTTGAGCTCTGCTTAATCAAGCTGATGGCAGCTATGCTCGTTATTGCCCAATGTGGCACTTTTGACAACCTGTAACACCTCATCCCACCAAAGCCCTAAGTCCCTGAGCCCTGAACATTCTGTCCAACACCTTGAACCCTAAGCCCCAAACCCTGAGCCCTCAACTTTAGGCCCTGAACCTGAAGGCCCTAAACCCGAAGCCTCAAAAGAAAACTCTGTGCTGGAGCTTAGGCTTTTCTCAGCCCGCATCTCAGTCACCGGATCCGTCGCAAGGGCTTGGGTCTACATTCCCAGTCACTAACATGGAAACCCACACAGCCCTGTGTTAAAGGGACTGTAGTCTTTCTATAGAGCCCCTTCGGGGGTTTCAATGTTCGTTTTCTTGACAGTAGGGTTTGCAAATTGAGGTGTAGGGCCCATCATCAGGGCCTTACGCGCCCGAATACAGAGGCCTAAGTAGTTGCCAAAATCACGTGGAGGTCCAGAAGTTCAGTTGACACCCTATACCGTGATAATGCAAAGAGTCAGGACCACATGCTTAGGGTTTCGGGATTTGTATCTATTTCGCCCAACTATCCCAGGGTTTCAGATTATGCTGAGTGGCTTGAGAGCTGAATGCCAGCGTGCTATAAGTCCCTCTTTGCAGCCAGCGTTGAGCATTTCGTGATTTAAGGGTTTAGGTTGTTAGGGTTTAGGTTGTTAGGGTTTAGGTGGCATCAAGGAGACCAGATACTGGACAAGAGACAAACATTGAAGTTGGGGAGCCCCCTGAAGGAAGTGCTGTCTGCTCGGTAACTCCTACACAATTCCAGGTTTCATTTTGCTTTGCATTGGATGTACCGTTTGATTCACCATCATTACTGTAATGCCTCAACCCCAAGCACCCATGTTACATCTCCTATCCTATCCCTACGGCCAGTGAAGATATGAGATGTAATCTAAACTCCTAATATAGGAGCTATTAAAGGGGACACTAAGAGCTTTAAAGCCTAAATCCTATAGAGGTCACCCTAAACCCCAACCCTAAACCCTAAACCCCAACCCTAAATCCTAAACCCTAAACCCCAACCCTAAACCCTAAACCCTAAACCCTAAACCCCAACCCTAAACCCTAAACCCCAACGCTAAATCCTAAATCCTAAATCCTATAGAGGTCATTAGGGGAATATGATTCCTGGCCAGGTGAGTTTTCCATTATCGACTTCTCCGTGCTCATCGGAATTGCTGAGATCCCTGTGCCTTGACGCAGTAGGGCTGAAGGCTTCAAGGGGCCCGAAAGGGGTGGTGGGGGTTACGGGGGTTTGACTGGTTGGGAGGGTTTAGGGGGCTTGGGGGTTGATTGGGGTGGGGGGGTTTAGGGTTGAGGGGTTTAGGGGGTTGGGGGGTGTAGGGGGCTTGGGGAGTTTGCAGAGGTTGGGCTTGTGGGTGTTTCGTTGTTGGGTGGAGTCCGGGTTGAGTGCTTAGGATTCAGGCTCTTGGGGCCAGTGGCGCTAGTTGGGGGGAGGTTAGGGTCTGGGGGATGTTTAGGGGCTTAGCGTCTAGGGGAAGGGGAGTTACTGCAGGTCCAAAAAGGCTGTGTTTAGCTTTTCTGGAGCTCTTGTAGGAGCATTTTCTGTGAGTCAGTGCGTGAAGAGCATCCCAACATTCGCCCGTGACACGTTCTGATCTCAACACAGAGTCCAAAAAAGTTTTGTGCTTTTAGGCTCGCCCGTTCCCACTGGAGTCCCCAGGGCCCAGGTCTAAAAGTCTAAGCCCTAAACCCCAGAGACGTCTTTAGAGAGCTGGGGTGAGGGATTGAGAAGTAGAGCGGGCACCCTCCAACCTATTCATATATCCCAAGCAAATCCCTGACGTACCTTCTTGCAATGCCCCCTTGACTTGATGTTGCAAGTACTACTTGGCAAGAAGCACGAGCAATCCCCATACATATATTGCAAGTATATCCCGACGCAACTTCTTCTTGATGTTGCACGTATTGCTTGGCAACAAGCAGGAGTAGCCCTCATATGTTCCTGTGATCCCTGAAGGCTCCCCCATTTCGAGAGAAGGCCCTAATTCAACCTTAACCTCAGCCTCAGCCCTAAATATCCCTCAATCCCGAACTTTTTCCTATGCGCGCGCACACGTACGCGCAAGCACATGTCTAAGTCTAAGTCATTATACTTCTATTTATGTAACACCCAACGCTCTCACCCTTCCGGGCCCAGGAGCCGAGTGAGATCCCAGATCACGCCTGGCAAAGCGTGGACAAGTCGCAGTGTTCTTTGATGGAATGCTGGTTTAGGGTTTAGGGTTGGGTTTAGGGTTTGGGGTTTTGGCCTTGGGGTGTTTGACTTTTAGGTGCTGGTTGTATGTTGTAGGGCTTTTAAGTGCTGGTCGTGGGGTTTGCAGTTCAGTTGCTGATTGTAGGGTGCAACTGCGGTTCAAGGCGGCTTGGGTGCAGGGCTTGGGGGGGGGGATGGCTGGGAGCCTAAAACCCCAAGCTGACGCAGGTCAACATCTATCTCCGGCAGGGCCTCTGTGGTTAGGAAGCAATCAATCGCACAGGCCTCCATAAACTTTGAAACAGTGTATTTCAAGTTCCACCTTTAACCCTCAATTTTGGAACCGTGACTTACACACGGTGCCGGGCAAAACAATACGACAAGAAGACTCTGAATCACAGGCTCGAAGCCCGTCAACCCTACTACAGTTTGCAGGCAGCCGCAAACAAGCTATAAAGGATTTGGAAAGCTTGGAACTGCGAAGACCGTAGGGCGCCTTTTAAGCATCAGGCTGAGGCTGTTGAGGGCTGGTTGGCTTTAGGGTTTCATGAATGCTAGGGTTTAGGCTAGTTTGGGATCTAGGGTTTAGGTTCTGGGCTGAAGGAATGGGTGGCCAGTTACTTCGAGATATTGCATTTCCTTGGGACATACTTAATCATCCATCTTGCTAGTTCACGGACATCCTGATGTAGGATGGGACTGCCACGGTGCTAATGACAGTTCTTTGAATTGGCCGCTTTGATTGGTCAAGGGGATTCATGTAGAAGGCTTGGGAGACAGAAAATCGGCCCTTTTGTGTCGCTACATGCCAAAGAAGGATGGCCCTTTGAGCCCATAATCAGAGGCCTCAATAGGAACCAATAGTGTAGTTCTGAGAACCGTGGTTTCGGCCTCGAAAATAAGCAGGGATTTCTGAAAGCAATCCTTCTGAGCTCCCTAGCAAGGAACCCCAGAATCCCTTTCTAAACCCCTTTTTCTCCCTAGGGTCCCTACGTTCTTGAGAAAATCCCATGCTGGTAATTTTCGAGCTTCTACATGAACCCTAACCCATAGCAAGGCTACTTCATCGGTATCGTGGACGTGCTGCCTCTTGGTCAAGTATGCAGCAAATGGCTCTGGATAGTCGAGCATGGTAAACCCTAAGCCATAAAATCTCCATGGGGGATTCCAAAAAAATTACTTCAAGGCTTCATTTCTCCAGTCCTTGCTAACCAGAGGTCAGTAATTCCAGCTTCTGAAAACCACGGGTCCCTTGAAAGGATTGCCAGGTTTAGGATGCTTCGGGTTTAGGGTTTAAGACAGAGAGTCCTGGTTCAAAAGGGTTTGAAGTTTAGGTTTTCTGGTGTTCTGTGGCATGCAGCAAATTAGCCAGAATTCTGAAGCAAAGCTTCAAGACCTGCACCCCAAATCAGGATTGAAACCCTAACACCCCCTGTAAACCCAAAAACCATGATTTAAGAATCAGCTCGTAGCCCTACTTGTCTGTGTCCTTGCACCCTGAGCCCTGCACTTCAAGTATGGCCCTAAACTAGAGGCAGAACTAGACCCCTTCAAGTCGGTGTCAAGTGTTTATGATGCCCATTTCATTAGATATAGTCCCCATAAAGCTCCTGTAAACTGTTCCTAGCAAATAAGACATTGAAACTTACAAGCCCTCCACTTGCTTCAATCAGGATTGGGCATAATTGGCCGAGCACCTGAATGCCAACAAAGGAAGTCTCTGAAATGAGGATTCGAGCCCCCATGCCGTGAAAAAACGCGGAAATCTCTTAGCCCTATCAAGTCTCTCTGAATTGAGGACCCTGTAAACCCTCTTAAATGAGGACCCTTGACAAAAAGATTTGTAAGTCCTCTTAGGAGGACCCCAAACCTTAGCGTGTAATCCCTCTAAAGTATAAGAGTCCTGGACCCCACGCCCCGCGAATCCTCTCACACGAGGACCCTACAGCCTAATATTTGTTTACAGGAGGATTGCTAAAAATTTAGTCCCTGCTGAGTCCATATCATAGTGCGGCCCCTAATTTTTGGCCAACAAGGGATCACAATTTCAACCACGAAGCACATGAACACTACCCTAAATCCCTAAATCCCTGAATCTTAAACCCTGAGGATTGAATATGGTCTCCGGAAGCGTCTCGAACATCTTCTCCACACTGTCAAAGGCGTTGGTCAGACGGTACCCAGGCTCCCAAGGCTTTGGGTCTAGGGTCTTAGAGGTTGAGGGGTTTAGGGGTCTAGGGTTTAGGGTGCAGGGTTTAGGGTTTGGGTTTAGGGGTGGGGCTTAGGGGTTCGGATTTTTACGTGTTTAGGTTTAGGGTGTGGGATAGTGCTCAGGGCTCCTGGCTTTTGGAGATTTCTAGAGAGAGATTTCCAGATCGGGGGAGCCCTGGTTGCTGGGAATGCTGGGGAGAGAGTTTCTGGTTCAGCGTTTGCAGAAGGTAGCCAGGAGCTACTCGTATGAGGATGGAGTTTTGGTAGGTTCTGGCGGCTGCCGAATGTTGGTGTCTGTTGTTTTGAAGTGTCCATTTCGGGGGAACACCAACAGAAGTCATAGGCCGTATTCGGCATATTATCTTTCCATATTGACTTCAAATCTAATCTTTCCTCTGACCGACTTTCTCCAAACGCACCATACGGAAGAACACAAATCTAAAGATGGAGGCCTGTGTACCAGCACTTTGGTGAATTTACTGCACGGATACTACGATTCACTCCAAGACCTTGTCTGGATTGGTGTTGAACAGTATAATTAACAAGGGTTTAGGGTTGAGGGTATGCTTGGTTGTATCTCCAAATCTCAAAGTTCTCAGTTGTGAGCTCAGGCAAGTGTGACAGATCCCAAGAACTACGCCAAGCGGCAGCGCCGTTTCTTCCGCGAACACGTGCTGCCAGGCTATGAAGGCATGCTACTCGACCAGTGCCTTGGCTGAAGAGTTGAGGTTTTTGGGGGTTGCATAGGGATATCTAGGGGATGAGTAGGGATGTGGGTGATTTTAGGGTACATATGGGGTTGGCTGTGAACAGGGGATGAAGGAATGGAAAGAAAACGGGAACTACAATTTAGGGTTTAGGATTGCTGCTCTGCAGGTTATAGAAAAGTTTAGTTAAGGTTTATAGGGGTATATTGTCAGAGAATCAAATGATGAAATACATGGAAACTGGCGCTTAAGAATTGGTCTCTCTTGTGGATGCTGAAGCTCCTGCATGATATTAGTATAACGTAGCACCATAATTTCTACCCTTTAGGTATTCGGGGTCATGCAGGTTTTGTAGTACCCATGGGAATGAAGGAAGGGGAAAGAAGATGGGAGCTACTATTCTATTGGAGACAAAATGAGGGTCACTACAGGGATCCATTCCCTCCGAACAAGGAGCGACAATAAGCCAGTCGTTATCGCAACATAGCCTTAGAAAGAACTCGCGGAAGAAGGTGCGGATGCAACAATGGACTCTCGGAATCTGAACGCACAACGCACAAATTGTAATCATGAGGGCGCTTAGGGCTTCAAACTCAAAACCGAAATTGCCGGTGGCAAAATCAAAAACTCCAACTCTAAAGGCTACACCTGAGACCTTTAACGCCAAATAGGAGCTTCCATTTTCTTCTCCATTCCCCCTGTATACCCCTCAATCGTCCCTATATAACTACTAGCTTCCATGTCGATTGCCATTCCCCTGTGTAACCCCGTAAACCCTAACCCCCCTATAGGGCCCCTACATGACTCCTAGACCCTGGAGGTCAGAGCCAATACAGAGCTTGGCGCCAGAGGCACACCTTGGGTATTCTGGGTTTGGGGGTAATGGGGTTTTAGGGTGTGGGTTTGGGGCTTGGGGCTACTGAGGGGTTTTAGGGTTTTAGGGTGTGGGCTTTAAGGTTTAGGGTTTGGGGCTAGGGGGGTTTCGGGGTTGTGGGCACCCCGGGCCCTAAGCCCCGAAAAGGCTATGAGGCTCAGGGGTTGTGAGCTTGGGGTTATGGCGTGTAGGCGTGGCAGGTCTAGGGGCGGCCTGGGGGGGCAAGTTCTGGGCCCATGGCTTTTGAGGTTCAGAGGTTACCGGCTTACTTCTGGGTTACTTTAGGGCTATTGTCCCCTTTAAGTAGATAGCATATGGCCTTGGGTATATTATTATAAGATCCCCCTACACCCCATATTCTATTATCCCTATCATAGACTGTTAGTGGGTGGGGGCAGTACCCAACCCTGCCTTGACTCTTCAGGTCTCCTGTTTACAGTTGAGTCTCCACCTCTGAATCCCTCCGCCCCGTACTTGGAGGTTCATGGGACTTAAGAACTATTTATAACTGGGCTTATAAGCTTAGGTATATTCCCCCTAAATGGCCCTGTAGGAGTTACGGCAGCTTTAAGTAGGAGACAAGCCCAGTCATAAGTCGATACTAAGTCCCATGAAACCAAAGGTAGCAGCATGCTCGCAACAACTCCTCAACATCCTAAGCTCCCGGGTGCTTAGCAACGAAAGGGTTTAGGGTTAACCTACTTCTCCACTACAAAGCAACAGGGAGATCTTAAATCCGAAGCCTGGGGGTCCCAACTGACCCATGGCATGAGCCCTGCAAGACTCAAATGTCGGGGGTTAGCTGAGCCTGAGAAAACTCCGGGTTAGTTGGGAATCAGGGAACAGAATCCCTATATAATCCTTGTATAACATATTCCCTCACTCCCTACTAACCCCAACATATACCCTATCATGGGGTAGTAGTTTCCATTTTCTTTTCCATTATCCCTATATAACCCCAATACGTTCTCTATAGCCACCAGCAAGTTACATTGCTAAGCGCTCAGCCTAAGGCCTAACACCCACCTGAAGGCTTCTACGCAGTCTCTCTTGTGAGAAGGACTTGCTTTGCTCCTGAAGAAAGGACGTACACCAGGATCTCTGGGTAAGCCTTAAAACCCAAAATTCTAAACCCTAATCTCCAAAACCATGAACCGGAGCCCAAAGCCAAGTATGCGCAGTGGCAGGGCGCCCCCGACAACTCCGAAGAAGTGAATGGAGCCACGTCGCTGATGCTGGATAAGATCATGGAGCAGCCGGCGGTCCATGGCAAGACTGTGGAGTTTTAGGGTTTAGGGTTGCGAGCGGGAAACGGGAAGATCCTGGGGGTCGTGAGATTTTGAAAGCCTACCGCGGTGATTTAAAAACGTGGAATTGAGCGTTGGCAGAGTCTACTTCAATTGTCTCAGAGTTGTTAGGGAACGATAATTTTCATGTTTCAAGCTGCGGGTACGAGTCCTGATGCAAGATGTCCTCCGTCCACAGTAGCAGACCCGTCAGGATTGTTCTAACTCTTAGTGGCCAACGCTGTCGACAATCAACCCGTATGAATGGAAGTTTAGGGGCGCAGTGGTTTAGGATTGTAGGGTTTGAGAGGGTAGGGTTTAAGTTTAATGCTTCCGTTCAGCGGTTTAGGGTCCAATATTGGGGCCGTAGGGCAATTGAATTCAGGAATACGCTTCACTCTGTCCGTGTTGCCACCATCTGGCAGAAAAAGCTGCAATTCACACCACCGTCAGGTCAAAATCCATTTGTCGTGTGCTGGGAAGGAAATATTTTTATATGTTAATATTGTTTTTGAACATACACAAGTGTGCACTTATTTCTGCATTGTTAGCCTAAAGTACGGTAATGTACGTATTGTTGTTTCGGGCTTGGGGTTGCAGGGAGGTGACGACTTTGCGGGTCCGATTTCCTAAGGCCTCCGTCTCTGTAGGATGGGAATCCTAAAGCCACTGAAACGCCACAGTCACAGTTCCAGATCCTTCGCTGGCTGGGATCGGCCTATGGAGCAGGCAAAAGACTCCTGCAAGCTTTTCCGGGCCGTTCAACAGCTTTAAGCGTCCAACCCTGTACAAGGCTTTGGGCAGTAGTGTTTTGGGCCAATTTCTCGAGAATGATGAGATGGTGGTTTGCCAGATAGGTGGACCCCAATCTAGACCCCGAAATACTAGAGTCCTTATCATAGGGACCCCCGCAAAGGTACCCTTAATTTTGTGAAACCCCCAGAGGAAGGGCAACGGCATGTTGAGTTAAGAGTAAGAAGCGTTTGAAAATGAATGCATGGTCACCTGAAACACCCACCACAAAGCAATGCGATTGGGATCGAGGGCTTGCGGTTTGCGGCACATGTGGCTTGACTTAATCCTTGCTGGTCACCGTTTTTCAACGGTCACAACAATCGGGACTTGTGGATTTTGAAGCTTAAGGCCTCCAAGCCTAAGTTTAGGATTTGGGAACTACTATAATGGGGTTTATATTGGGGTTTAGGGTTTAGGGTGACCCAAGGATAATGGAAAAGAAAATGGAAACTACTATAGTATATATTGGGGTTTTATAGGGATAATGGAAAAGAAAATGGAAGCTATAGTATAATTGGGTATATATCGGGGTTGTTAGGATTTTAGTGCCCAGAACGTGAAACCCCTGCCGTAAGTTTCGTAGGGTTTATAAGGTTTACAGGGCTTAGTGTTTAGGGTTTATAGGGTTTAGGGTTGAGGGCTGGCTATAGCTTTTGATTGAAGAGGCGTCGAGAGCTGTAGCATCATATTGACCCGGCCATTCTGCTCCTCCCAAACAACCCTGGCGTGAGAGGTCTCCCTTCTATGAGTGTGCAATATCCTAGTGCTGCACTTTCGCTAGGTTTTGCAGTTTTTAGCCACATTCTTACAGAATTTCACAAAAGGCGTAACAACACGTGATATACCAACAGGAACTGCAATGAGTTTCGATAAAGCAAGCTCTCGATCGGAAATTCTAGACCCCAGGTAGATCCGCTTGAAAAAAATGGGTTGGACCTCTTGTGGCACCCGACCTTGACTGTGCAGCGAAAGCGAGCTGCAAGGGTGCAAGACACTCGTTGGGCTGCTCTTGGAGAAACAAACCCTAAACCACTAAACCCTAAACCCTTAAATACTTAAACCCTAAACCCACGGATGCCCCCAGTCCTGGAAGTGCACAGTGAAAATCCCAAACTTCTTGTATCATGCGTAAAAACTCCCATGTCAAGTTGCACTGCAGTACAGTAGTCTTTCCTTGGCTTGAACAACTTCAGGGGTGTTGAGTAAGTCTTTTTTCCCCTTTTCGAGGTCCTCTATATACATATATATGTTCAAAAAAGGGTGCCTTTTAGTCCTAGGTTACTGGGGATTAGAGTTTGTGCTGAACTCCAACCCTTTATCCCCTCCCCTCACGACACACCGCCCCACCCTCTCGAATGATTAGTAAATACCCCAAGTTTGGCAAAGTACTATAGCACCAACCCTCGGCATTGAGCACACCGCCTAGTTGGGTGGCATTTCACCAATATCTGCGCCATGTAGGGATTCCTTGTATAACTATGGTTTCGGATGCCTCCAATAGACTCCAAAGTCACATGGGCTATGTAGGCCCTACACTAGACATGGAAAGGGCGCCACGCGAAAACCCCCTTGGAGGGGGCCCGAGAGCAACCCAGCTTTAGGCCTAGGCAAGACGTTCAGCGGCTGGGCCGTGCTTTTGGATGGCCGTCTGCCGCGTGCCAAATATCGGGCTGTTCTCCAGACTGAGGTCTCCAAATGGGCCCTTGCCAGGGTGCCTGGGTTCGGGCATGTACTTGCTGGTTATTGGTAAGGTGGAGAAATGGATCCCAAATATACTCTTCCATAGCATTGTAGTATCATGTTCTTTTCAATTTCTTCATTTCCTAGAAGCCATGAGCAAGTTTGGGGGTCCTTGGCTTAGGTCTCCACAGGACTTAGGTTTTTTTCGTGCTGCCACGCCCAGAAGGGCTCCGCATTTTGGAGGATCGCCCATTTCGCTTGCTTGCAAGAGCGCTTCGCTTTGTCTTTTTGGGCACTGTTTAACAGTCCCATACAGGTGGGCGCTTATCGGAATCAGGGCTTTCTTGCAAAGGTGAATGCTCAA